GTTGGGAAACTATAGCCAAAATAACCGATTTGCTTGAGGTTTTTAAAAATGCAACAACTTTTTTATCCGGTGTTTATTACCCTACTAGCCCGTTGGTTCTTAATCAAATATTTTGTTGGATACCCGACTAAATGACTTTGAATTTAAAACCGAAGTTTTTCAAGAAATGGCTTTGCAATGAAGGAAAAACTTTTAAAATATTTTAAGGAGATTCCCCCATTTTTACTTGTGCCGCCGTTTTAAACCCAACGTTAAATGTTGGTGGGGTTGAAACACTAATTGAACAAATTGCGTTTGCTTTTAATCTAACCGATGATGAACCCAACTTTGTCCAAAACCAAATAAATTATTTTAACAAATGTTTTCGAGACATGTTTGCAATTTATTTAACTAAATACGGATCAAGTAGTGTAATACACGATCAAATGAGAATGAATGCGGAATCATCTAGTAGACGTCCAAGTAACATAAATTTGAATCTTTTTAACACTCTTGTAAATTCCCAATCCAAACGATCACGTACTACCACCCCAAGTAGCGAGTTGGGAAATTACATGTCATGCGATTTTCTATCAAAAATGACATTTGAAGAGTTTGAAAGTTTAGATATTTTGGCTTGGTGGAAAGAAAAGGAAGCACAATTTCCAATTCTAGCCGCCATGGCCCGTGATTTACTAACCGTCCAAGCTTCTACGGTAGCTTCGGAATCCGCTTTTTCTGTTAGTGGCAGGGTTATATCACAACGGAGATCAAGACTAAGTCCCGAGTCGGTGGAAGTATGCATTTGTTTAAAGGATTATTTGGATGGAGCGGCTCGTAAGCAACATATCACCACCCTAGAAGATGCAATTGATGCCGATTTGGAAGCAAACTTACACATTGAAGAAGTCGAACTTGGAATATCCCCTCCAAACGAAGAAGGCGAAGATGATGAATAAGAGATGGCAATGTAGTTTATTTTATAACTTTATTTCAATTATCGTAAACTTTGTTTCAATTATCGAACTTGAAGTTTTTAAGTATTTGAATTTATCGAACTTGGAAGTTTTTAAGTATTTGAATTTATCAAACTTGGAAGTATTTAAGTATTTCAATTATGTTGAGTTAATTAAGTATTTCAATTAAGTATTTGAATTTATCGAACTTGAGGTTTGATGCTTTCTCTTTGATTCTCTCTTGATTCTAGTTGTTTGATGTTTCTTGTCTTTGATCAATGGCTTCTAAGCTTGCTTAAATACACCTTGAATCACTTCTGAACGTTAGTGATAATTAATGAAGATAATATAGCCGTTTAAGTGTGAAAACATTTAATAAAAATGCTTGGAGCATGGGGGAATCGGTACCCTCTCATAGGGAATCGGTTCCCTAAGTGTAAAATTCAAATATTTCGACCGTTGAATAGGGGGAATCGGTACCCCTATGGGGGAATCGGTTCCCTCCGAGCATTCTGGAAATCTCGGAGCCAAACCATTCAGTGAGGAATCGGTACCCCCTTGGGGGGGAATCGGTTCCCTATGAGCAATCTGGAATATTAAAATCGGTTTTTTTATAACTGGTTTTTTAAAAAAACCGGTTTTTTTAAAACCGAAACCGGTTACACCGGTTAGGATATCCGGCCCTCCAAACCGGTTAGAAACCGAACCGGTTATTTTATAAACCGGTTTTTTTTCTATGGGAAAAAACCGGATCGGATAAAAACCGATCCGGATCGGATTGAAATCCGAATTATGTGCAACCCTACTTGCCTGCTGAGGCGTTACTATTTGATGTAAGGGGTCTACAAAACTCGATTTTACTCGAAAACTCGATTTTTTCGACTCGATTCGACTCGAAAAAATTTCAAATTTCAAATTCAAATAGAGTTGTAAAATGTAACTCGAATAATTCGAAATTTTTATTGATTACTGAATTTATTTTTAAGTTTGAGTCGAGTCTTTAGACTTTGCATGATATACATATATATATATATATATATATATATATGTATATCCCATATGAAAAAAATATGATGAAACATATTTGTATTGTATATATTAATTATAAAAAGTCACTTAAATTAGAATAGAAAAATATTAGAATATTATAAATATTCACAATTAAATTTAAACAAAAATTCGACAAAGTGACTAGATTCAAATTTTATAAATTCAAATGAAATCAAAAAATTTCAAATCAACTCCGAATGGTAAAATATGACTCGTACCTATAATAACTTATAATTTTTTCACTCCACGCGACTGGATTGAACCCTCGTACCTAATTTCATAGATATTCAACGCTACACTCATTAACGTCATCTCACACTGAATTCACCTTTTTTCCTCGTTTTTATCTAAAATATAAATTATTTTGTTTGTTTATTTATTTATTTATTATTAATGAAAGAAAGTGCTTGAGAAAAAGGAGGAGGAGGAGGAGGAGGAGGAGGAGGACTTTTACCTTCCCCAATCAACTACTCATATTCGTGCTTGAGAAATATAGAGGAAGAGGAGGAGGAGGAGGAGGAGTCCTTTTACCTTCCCCAATCAGCTACTCATATTCATCGGTTTCGCCTTATAAATTTAAATATCTAAATGTATAATGTTAAAACATACATATTTTTTTGAATTTTTATTTTAAGTTTTTAAAGTATTATTATTTATTTTAAAATTATTAAAAACCCAAAAATTTCATATTTTAAATCTTATTTCTAACCGTCATCGGTTATCTCCGACTACAACCTTTATCATCGAACGACTCACTAACCGATCATCATCTTTGCCGTCAATCAAACTCTTAAATACCTAAATCTCCAACCCTATTTCTAATCACAATATAACAGGATTGAATCCCAAAGCGGTAGGAGCGATAGAGGTGTTCGGAATTTAACTGGGGTGTAGACGGCGTTCTACAGGGAAAAGTTATTGTTCTCCCAACCGACGAGGTTGAGGATGGGGGGACGAGGATTAGGGGTGCTGATAGGTAAATAGGGATGGGAGGTTAGTTATTTTAACAAAAGAAATTGATTTTTTAAAATAATATTTTTAATTTTTAAAATAAAAAATATATATAAACGAGACACGTGTCAAATAACAATTTTTAACGGGTACTATACCGTAGGCACTTAAAATAATAATTGAAAAATGTTAAGAACATTCTTTCAGTGAATAATTATTTAAACGCTTAAAATCAACAAAGAGTATAGTTTTAGTACAATGCTTATTTTTATTTAAAGTAAAACATATAACACGAACTAAGTGATCTTGATGATAACTTTGAGGTCTTTTATTCGAGTACTAAGAATATCAGGAGTGCGAATGTTCAATATCAAATGATGGAGAGTTATCTGTGAATAGATACAACCTTGTATTTACCCTAATTTAATGAGAAAAAAAAACTAAAACATACAATATAAGAATTTATTACTCCATCGGTCCCATGAAATATGTCTATTATTAACTTTTTTGATCAATTTTTAAAACTTTAACTAATTATTATTTAAAATTTATTATTGATAAAAATATATATTTTTTATAAAACTTTTAATTAAATAGTTCTTATATATATATATAATAAGTTTTCATTATTTAAAATATTTGAAATAATCATTTTTAAAATTTAAAAAAAATGATCTTTAAAAGGTAAATAAAGAATATTTTTATGAGACGAAAAAATATATTATTTTGGTGTTAATTGAAATACGATCTATATGATATTTTAATTTTTTTTTTTGAAAAATAACAATAACATTGGTTGTCAATGTTAGTAAGATTATGAAACTGTTGTTTTGTAGCGCCTTATCGATTTGATTGGAAATCAATGGAACAAAGGATACAAATCTTCTTACAATATATACTATTTTATAATCATTTTAATTTAATAAAAAAATACGAATCTTACAACGGAGAATAATAATATATTATATCAATATTTTAACTTTTAGTTAACGAATTTACTATAGAAGTATAATATTAAGGTAAATTATGTATTTAATATTTAAACTATTAGTTTTGATATATTTTAATACTTAAACTTTTAATTTATTTTAAAATCATACCTAATATTTAATTTTTATTTCATTTTAATATCTCATCGTTAAAAACTTAATGCTTTTAATACCTAAACTATCATTTTTGGTATGTTTTAGAGCCTAAACTTTCAGTCTTTTAAAAATTTAATGTTAAATTTTGAACGATTGTACTAAAATGAAACAAAAACTAAAGTTTTTAACGATTAGTATTAAAATGAAATAAAAACTAAACTTTAGATATGATTTTGAAAAAAATAAAAATTTAGTATTAACACGGATTAAAACTGATAATTTAATTACTAAACACGTAATTTACCCTAATATTAATGATCATTCTATTAATTTTGAAATTTCAATTGTTTTAACAATGAGAATACTTCTCTTTTGCTTGAAAGAATTTCGAGCATCTCTTAAAGGTTCTTAACCTGATTTTTCAATGCATGTAAAGAATGAAGAAATCTCTAATTTGATATAAGTTTTTCGTATTCCCCCCTTTTTTCCGATTATTCATCATGTAATTTCATTTTTTTGGACCCTCCACTTTCTGGGTTTTTTTTGTTCTTAACATGCTTAGTTCAAGGGACTAGGGTTTTTAAGAACAAAAAAAAAATTGTGGGTTTGGGGAAGTTTTTTTCAGGATTTTCAGTTAATATACTTATTCTTGTTTAAGTTTTCATCTAGTTTTTGAATGCTCTATTTTTAGGGTTCCCCTTTTTTCTTTTAAAGTTTCTTAACGACTAGGGTTTTTTTTCAAATGGGTTTAACTTCGATATTTCGGTCTTTTTAGTTCATTAAAGTAGTATTCATACCTGAGATTAATTTCCCCCTGTAATTAGTTTTAGATTTGTTTCATTGGTTACTAAATTTATGTTAAGTTTGTGTTTCAATGCTCGTTTCTGCTTATGAGATTGCAAGATTAGCCTAATGTTAGCTAAAAACAACGATTTTCTTGCGCTTGAATGATGTTATATTTAAGTTCTTATTTTTTTATTGTTTGTTATATATAGATTTTTAATTCTTGAAAGGCTTCAAACTTATGAAACTCCTGTGTTGGTAACATGTAGATCAAGTGATTACTCTTAAACTAGATCATTCTCATGGACCGACTAGGTCCGATCTTTGGCCGTAATTCTTCTGGTCCTCCGGTTTTATGGCAGTGCATCATTGAGTATTTATCAAGCTTCCCCGAGATAGATATTTCCATTATAACCGGTATGGAAAAATGTGTATCACTTGGTGTTTGTTATCATTACTATTTTGGGTGTTTTAACTTTTCTCTGTTCTCTCAGGTCTGATTGAAACATCTCCGGCAGCACCGGAGGATTTCGATGAAAATACGAAAGAGAGGGTTGCTTTAAAATGTTTGGAGAAGTTATTTAGTCCTGAAAACAGTCTTGGAAACGTCGTTCCTCCTGTTTCAAGAGCCACTTTTACTCCTTCGCTGAGCTGTGATGCTGTTCTCAACCAAATAATGCAAGTGGTAAAATATAAACATACATTCTAGTTTCGGCATTGCTCTATAAACTTGTTTAGATAGACAAACCTTTTTTTTGACTCTCTCATAAAACCTTGCTAGCTGAAGTGCCTGCATTGTCAATTATAAGCATATCTTTCTTTGTCAGGTTCCATTTCAAAATCTAAAAAGACCTGCACCCAAGCTTTCGAAATGGGATGGCCAGTCCTTTATTAAGCATAAGAGAGACACCCTACCACAATGTTCATTAGAAAAGGTAAATTTGGATTTTACTCCTGCTGCAAAATGTGATAATGGGCATAGCTTCACTCCTTTTTCATTTTTTGCAAACACGTGCTTATTTGTTTATTGTTTCTTATTGGTCCTTTTTTGAACAGTTGAAAGATTATATTTTCTGGGACGATCCTGTTTCTCGTTTTGATGAAAATGGCCCTCCATCACTGTCTGATGGCGATGATAAAAAGGGTAACCAAGAGGGTAACTTGACTCCTCGAATTAATGAAAATTATAATGAATTGTTGCTTGGAAAAGATTTATTGCCCTCTAAGAGGTGTAGAGATGACTTGGTTGCTGAAAATCCAATGGGAGTAGTCGGTTATCCTCAATTGAATGCTAAAAGGTCCAAGCAGGATGCTACTCCCTCTTGTACTATTCAGTCGGTTGAGGAGCTTCCGATTCACTTGTGTGCTGGTTCTGAACGGTTGGAAGATGAATCTCAAAGGATTATGAAAGTTACTGAAATAGAAGGTAATAACTTGAGGAAAGATTCTCAGATAGGTGAGGGTGATAAAGATTTATGTGTTGCCTCAAGGACCCATGGGTCAGTTGATGCTGTTGGTCGTGTAGAACTGCTGGACAATCAGATGGAAAACGTTCAAAATGACGATGCTGATGTGATGGTCGAGCACAAGCATGAAGATATAACTTGCCAAAATGCTCCGACTGATGAATCCAATCTCGTTGAAAATGTTTCACTGCAAAAGGGTCCTAGTGGTGATGTGGTTGTAGATATTGATCAAGATTTTACATTAAGTTCCCCAAATTCCATCTCTGCTGATGGATTGCAACAAAATATTGATCATAATGTGGAAAAAGCTGACATTGTTCATCCTTCTATGGAAGAAATATTTGAATTTGAAGATGAGATCCTTAATAATGCCTTGAAGAAGAACCTTTTCTTGAGTTCACATCGCATACCAAGTCAAGATTCGAATCAAAAAGCTGGCTGGACAGAAACGAGGTCTTGTGTCAAGTGTAACCAAAATGGTCAGGTTTTGGTGTGCAGTGCTAGTGGTTGTCCACTTGTGGTCCATGAGAGTTGCTTGAATTGTGCTGCAAGATTTGATGATAAGGGCAACTTTCTTTGCCCTTTTTGTGCATATTCTGTTTCCATCTCTGAGTACATAAAAGCTAAGGACAAGATCATCTTGGCAAGGAAGAAACTAGTTGCATTTATGAGGCTTATAGGAAAATTTGCTCAGGAACGGAGGAGGTTTCCGAGTCATTCAACATTAAATGGCAATGAAGGCCTTGTCGGAAATCAGGAGAGTGAACATCTAGGGAGAGAGCGTGAACACCAACAGCAGTCCAAGCTTAACTCCTGTGATGATCATCCAACCGCTGAAAACACTGAAACTGACCCTGTAAATCAGGTAGAAGTTGAAAGAGATGACATTTTAAAGGAAGCTGTAAAGCCTCAGACAACAGACGCCTGTCAGGAGCTTGTCAATAGTGATGAAGAGGCGTCATGTATCGGTGCAAATGACAAGTTAATAATATCTAACGATACTAAAGAACATCAGACAAAGTTGTAAGTTTGCTTTGCAGAAATTGATATTCTTGTTTCCTGTACATCGTTTTTAAAATTTTAACATGCTCTTGTCGTTGCTTTATTATATCGTGTGAGAGAGGAAATGAGTTAGCCTTTGATTTTATTGAGAATCAAATATTAACAAGATTCTTATTTGTAGCTCATTCACTCCATCTCGACGATCGAAGAGAAAGATAATTCCATGGACAGATGCTGAAGAAGGGATGCTCAGGGTAATTACTTCCTATCGTAGATTGCTTATAGTAGGTATAAAGAGTTGATAGCTTTGAAAAGTCCACAACCTTGCCTACCTGTGTTAAGAAATTCTGGTATGGGGGTGAACTTCCTGAAATGTTAATTGAGCAAGCATGTGGCATATAATACACGACTTAAGACTTATTGTAAGATTTGAATTTGACTATATATACTTGCAGAAGGGAGTAGAGGAGTTTACACAGGGTGATGGAACAATTCCATGGAAGAGAATTTTGGAGTTTGGTTCCAAAGTCTTTCCCAAGAATAAAACTGCAAGAGACCTGAAGAACAAGTGGAACAGAATGCGCCAGGATAGTATGAAACTGCAACAGAAGGATGATGTCACAGCCCTGTGATCTTGCATGCAAGATGATGTCATTTTGATTTCTCAGTTTAGTCAAGGGAATTAGGTACCTAGTTGTTATCAGATAGTGTATTAAGGGTAATTAGGAAGTTGGGAGTGGCAGTTTTGATGACCCCCCCGGTTTTTGTGTCCCTGAAATGAAATGTTTTGTTTGTTTGGGGCTTTGATGGCATTGGGAAGCGAATGATGTTCTTTATAGACCCATCTATATTAAATCTGGGGTATCTCAAACAGTAATCTACTTTACCTTTTATGGTTTCATCCTTTCTATTCCTTTTCTTTTTATAGATTAAAATGTTTGATACTACTATTCCCTTGCATTTGGTTATCTGAAAATGTTCAGAATGGGATTTGGAGGCTGCATGCTTTAATTCCAATTACATGTTTTTCCCTTGTGTTTAATCAATTTTGTATACAAATTCAATTTCGGTCATTCTAAACTTGTTTCTAGTAAGAACTTAAATATATATTTCTTGTACTCTTTTAGTCTGTTGGTGGTTTAGGTTTAAGATTTGATTGTCTGGGTTTAGGTTTAAAATATATTGTGCAAACCGAGCAAACTCATTGATAAATAAATTGTTATTCTTTGAGGTTTCGAGTTTGAGCACCAGGAATATCAGGGGCGTGAGCGTTCAATGTCAAATGATTAAGAGTTATCTTTGAATAGATAGTCTTGTACTTACATCAGATTAATTAAGAAAAACATAGCATTCCACGCATATTGAACATGTTCACTCGACACAAATCAAGTATCATTTGTGTTCAACAAGAACATGCACAAATGACATTTCAAACACAACATGTTGGGCCTTCTCAGCATCAAACTGTTACGTAAGTAGCAGACATGAGCACATACTACTAATTGCTAATGCATCAAACACTCACTTTTGGGCCTTCTCAGCATCGTGCAATATTTTATCATGTTCATTCATAGGGCAACCTCTTTCACATGCAAAACTATTAAAATTGCATGCATTAACGGAAAGCTCAAAGCAGAAAGAGTAATTGACACATGTTTTCTTTGCAGCTGTAGTGCATATCATGTGATTCTTTGATTGTTACGTTTTCTAATTCACAATGTCAGTTTCAGATCATTCCCCCCCCCCCAACAAAAAAATCCAACCTTTGGGGTTGAAATGACAGAACAATTTAGTTATAGTTGAACATCATTTTATTCGAAATCGAATATGAGATGATGGTAATTTTCAGAATTTTATTCGAAATCGAGTTTATTATTATTAATTACAATACTAATTTGTGTTTGAAATTTGGTATGTCGGAATAATTGACATTCGTGTAGATCGTGATCGTTTACAAGTTCAAAACGAGATAAAAAGGAAAGGATAAAGTTCGAGAGTAAATCGATAGTATCAAGTAAGCTAGTGAGGCCACAGGTGAGTTCGACTAAACTTTTTTATATTAGATAATACTAGGAAGACTTGCGCTAAGTCAACCTTGATTGTTTTTATAGATAATGTTTTAAAGTAGTGTTTGACGTAGATTTTCTTAAGTTGTTTTATTTTACAGTGTATGGTTGTTTTGGGTATGATCTGCCCAAAGTTTGGACTTTTATGAAAATGATTTTATAATCAATTATCTGAATTGTTTTTATATGCAAATTAGTAATTTATTTATAACCATTCCTATTGTATGAAAATGAGGATTAGTGGTACAATGACATGTTATGAGGTGGAGTGAATCGAAATATGTTTCTGAAATAGCATCAGTGTGGATCACTCGTGGTCTGACTCGGCTAATCTTAATGGTGCATGAGGTGGACTGATTTGGTGCATTTGATTAGCTTTATATGTATTATATGACACCAAGATGGGTCACTCGTGGACTGACTTGGATGCCTTAGTTATACACGAGGTGGAGTGACTCGGTGCAATTTTTTCTGATAATAAATTTGTATACAACGCGCTCACTCGTTATCTGACTCAAGTATCACGTATTTTCATGATAATATAGTGGACAAAGTAATGGTCTGATCTTAATAAAATATGGAAATTATCTGCTTTGAAATGGAAAAGTATAAGTCCAAAAATAAATTTAGTATGAATAATTCGTGAAAATTCTTACAAAGTGGTTTTAAATCAAATATATTCTTGATGTAAATTGTATATATTTTATTTTAGTAAAATTTTATTGATATGGTTAATTATACTCGTTAAACATTTTCTTTACTTTTTATGTCGCTTCACTAAGTGGAATACTTAGTGTGTGATTGGTTCACACGTAGGGAAAGTGAAGTCAGTATCAGCAGAGTAGGGAGCCAGACAGAAAATCTAATATTTTGGGAGACCATTTCAGACATCTAGAATCAATATGATATCTTTTCGATGTTTTTGATATTCATAGTTGGCATGTATATTTTTATTTTGATGCTCTAATTCGAATATGTCTGAACTCTTTTTGATAATATGATAAATGAGAAGTATTTTAATTATTCTATATTATGGTTTTTTAAATGCAATTATTTATTTTATTGTCGATTTTAAATAAAACAAAAATTTACTGATTTTTGAACATTATATGTTTTATACGTTTGATGTGACACTTCTATCTCGTATATGGGATCGTATACGGGATAAGTGTGTTACATTAGGACCGTTGGATGAGTGAAAATAGATGATACAAATTAACAGTAGGATATGTGAAGATATTCATTTTGAAAAAAAAACAAGAAGTCAATATGGGCCATCTATTTTCACTCATTTAATGATCCTAAATCTGTATAAAATTAAAATGTTTCTCTTATACTTTTTATCAAATGAGTTAAAGATCGGCCAAGTTTTATCTTACGTGATTAAATAGTACCAAATAAGTTCATCTAATGTGTCACATCAACCTTCTATACTTACCGCGATCAACGTTTGAGTAGGGTTGTAAATGAGACGAGATAGATCGTTAACTATTCGAGATTGACTCGGTCAACGCTCGATAAATACTCGACTTGAGTTCTTAATGAGCCGAAACGAGCTACTTAATACTTGACTCAAAAAACCCGTGAACAGTTCGAAAATATAATACATTAAGATTTTTTTTAAAAAAATAAATTATTAATAATATTAAGTTATTAACATTTATGTGTTGATTTAAAAAAATGCAATATAAAGTTTTTTATGTATTTAAGGTTCAGGTTCGAGTTCGAGGCTTCAATCGAGTTAATTTTAAGATTTTTTTTTCATTTCGAGCCTTTTCGAGCTTTAATTCATGATTTCGAGTTTGAGTCGAGCTTAAAAATTTTAGGCTCACAAATTTTCGATTCAATCCAAGCGTCATTTCATATTTTTTTGACTAGAGACAAGCTCAGCAATAGTCGAGTTCGACTCGGCTCGTTTACAACCCTACTCCAGAGCGACCAATTTGTTATAAAATGATAATGTGAGAGTCTGTTTCGTTATTTTTGAAACTTTAGTACTGAAAAGAAGAAATGTACTCATACTTTAGTGACCATTTTGTAGTTTATCCTATTTTTATATTTTAGTACGTCATTTTCTATATTCATCTCTTCACGCACTTTCACAAAACATTATTAATTAATCCATTTTCTGATGCACTATTTGTAAGTAAGTGTTGGTGGACTCAATTCTCACAAATATAGAAAGGGAAATATTTTTTCTTTAAATTATAATCTAAAATCTCACTTGAAAACCTCCCTTTTTTGAGAATCTCGGGTGCTCCGCTGCTTGTGGTGTCCATGGCGGTTGCAGCGGCAGCTGTTATAGTCCCATTGGGCCTTCTTTTCTTCATCTCCGGCCTCGCTGTCAATCTCATCCAGGTTCTTTTTGGGGTTTTTTTTATATATAGATTGGCTTCTGTTCTAACTTCTCAGGTGATCTGCTTCATGTTTTGGTTCGATTAACTGGATCGATTTTTTCTCTCTTTGGTAATTTTGCGTTCTGGGTTTCTATGTTTTCTTTTCGAATCTGATGTGGTTGCAGTGAATGAAATTGCCGGCGAATGGCTTTATCTGTTGTCTTTTTTATTTGATTCTTCAGCTGGGATTATTAATAAGCTTGCATGTAATCCGGGTTTTGAATCTACTAACTTTATTCTTAGCTAATAAAATTTAGTAAAAATAAAATTAAATCCGAATCTTTAGGTTTCAGCTTTTGTGACCGCGCTTGTCGCCATATCTCATGATACCATTCGATCTATAAATGAGACTGAGAGTCTAAGAGTCCATTTTTGCTTCTTTTTTTCCTGTAGAAATTAGAATCTACTTTGTTAGTTGAAGTTTCAACTGGATTAGTTGGCTGATGTGTAAATGTTGTCCTTTTGTTTTTCCCTTTTTATCTTGCTATTGGTCACCATGTTTTTTTTCTCGTCATGCAATGCGATTCTTTTCCAGGCAGTATGCTTTGTTCTCATTCGACCACTGTCCAAGAACACTTATAGAAAGATCAATAGGGTGTTGGCAGAGTTGTTGTGGCTGCAACTAGTTTGGATTGTTGATTGGTGGGCAGGACTTAAGGTGTTACTGAGCTCCTTTATTTCGTTGTTTGAAATCATTTGTTTTTCAGTCACTCAATATATTATTTTTTTGGGCATTTTTGAAAATGTATGGTCTAATGCTGAAATCCCTTATGAGATAATTGTAGATACAGAAACCATTTATGATATGTAAGTTTATGCTGGTAAAATGCTTTCCTTCCTTTTCCTACTTTACTTGCAAACAGTTAGTCTCAAAAGTAATCTCATTTCTAAACAATAAGATATAGAACCCATGCCAAGAATTTCACAGCTTTATTTGAGACTCTGATGGATGTTACTTAGATAAAGGGGTTAGACAATGAGATTTTTGTGCAGCGTTGGAATTTTTGTGCCTCCAGTGACTGGTAATTCCACTTTCTAGTCATATTTAGTTGGTTGAAAGCCTGTTGTCCAACTAGTATATTTGATGTCCATAGGCTTAAAGATTCAGCAGTTTTTAGCTTGTCTCAATAATTATGCACATATGACTTGAACTATTGTTATGAAGTTTTGTGTTCTCCAAGAGCTGATAGATGTTCCTAGAAATTGATTGAGCTATTGAGGTGTTATTTATTGGCTGTTAGTGAGCCAAATTCTATTAATGCTGGAAAAAATTCGTATTTTTGTGCACCTTAAGTAGTCTTGTAAAAATCAGTTTTTGACCTTTGAGACGTCTTTTCTGCAGATTAAAGTGTTTTCGGATAGTGAAAGCTTCAATTTAATGGGTAACGTCGATCTCTTTTTTCTAGGAAACTTA